GCGGTCGTACCCGGCCAGACGTAGACCCATAGATGCTTCATACGTTTGTCGTGCTTGCCATGGGTCGTGGTGGATCAAATTTAGGCCCATACAGTTAGTCCCTCCGCTCGTCGAGGTTGCAACCAGATGCGTCCTTGATGAGCGGACTCTATACCCTCCCTTAGGGGGGAATTTGATCCGCTGGGATGTTGCGACGTAGCCAACGAAGGATGGGTATTCTGCTCGGCAGGACATCGTGGGGTACACGCCACCCGAGGGTGACGTCAGCTTTGTCATGCGTCATCATTACGCGGATTTCGAGGTAGAGACTGACGGCTTTTGGCGCTTCGATTCTTGCGCTGATTTGAAACCTGCCGCCTCGATTCTGGCGCTACCCAACCCTATAAATAGCTGAGGAGTTCGATTTTTGAAGAACTTTGGCCACCCTCTCTTGATAACTTTTTAGTTTCTCTCAGTTGTCCTTGCATCTTCCAATCTCCATTTTCGTTCTTGACCTGAAGCCTTTCGTTTCTTACCCTCTTTGTGTGACTGCCCCCCTTTAAACGAAATCATGCCAAGATCCCGCCGTACTAATGAGGAAGTCCCCGACATTACTCCGTCAGTTGCAGCACCTTTCTCCGGTAGCGGAGAGGTGGAGGTAGAAGAAGGCGACAACCCTCTCAGTGGAGGCGTTATTGCCGAGACATCCCCGGTCCCGGAACGATTTCCTTAAAGATCCACCCCTTACTCCGAGCCCCGTACTGAATGAGACGATGCAAGCTCATCTTGACGCCCTTCGCATAAAATATGGCGTTCCTGCTCACGTAGAGATGACTCTGGCGGAGGGAGACTACGTTGACGTCCACAGGCTTGGGTACTGTGCTTTTTATGAATATCCCTTCGTGATCGGCTACACCCTCCCTCTCTTCCCTTTGGCAGAAGAGTTCTGCAGATTTTACCAAGTTTGCCAGGCTCAGCTCTCACCGTACACACTCAAAGTACTTCTGCTGCCGACCAAGTATGCGAGTTGGCAGGGTGTGACGTCTCCGTCCATCATCTTTTGCACCTATTCACGCCTGGTTTTCTAAGAGGTATCATGGTACACTTAAGGCTTTGGGGTACTAAGGGGATAGGGTCGGGGACAGACGATCAGGCGAGTCGTAAATTCTGGCACAAGTACTTCTTTATCAAGACTGAACATGTCATTTCTAACCCCGCCGGGTTTTCGGAACGATGGAACAAAACTCGTAAGTATCATTATCCATTTGCGTCTCCCCATCTCCTATAATTATCGTAACCTTCAGTCGATTGTTGTTCTGCAGCTATGGGTCATCCGCCCCACCCTATTACGGGTCTCAAGAAATGGGTCGCCGGCCTGCTGCCTTACGCGGAGGAAACTCGGACTTGGGCGGCCTTCGTACAATGATATGGCCCTAGGGTCTCCTCGGGTAACTTTCTGCCCTGCTACTTCATAGGTCATGCGAGCCCGCCTCACTGTGTGATTTTCTGTGACGACAGGTCGGAGAACTTCCAGGCGGAGGGCGCCGGTCCCTGCTTTCAGACGAGCCATTGCTGCCACAGATACGCGATTCATTTTGTGTGAGTCTGTTCGGGGAGGCCGTACTCAGCTTCCTCAGCAGGGAGACTCGTCTCAAACCGTGGTTGCAAGGGAAGAAATCACAGTGGCACCGGCCCCGCATCCCGTCGATGAATCCTCTAATGCCGACGAACCGTTAGAGAGGAAAAGGATAAGATTAGAACTAGGAAAAGGTGTGGTTATCGAGGGCGAAGGAAGCGGAGCATCCCGAATAGTCCCGGTGCCTGTGTTTATGGCCGACGCTATTTTGTCGGGAAGGCATCCCTGTGCGGAGGAGGTTGGCCCAGGAGCCGGACTAGTGCGTTCCGCTGAGGGTGGTGCGTCTTCCAATGTCGGAGGACCTCGAGTCGAGGGGGACAGGTCGGGCTCGGATATCGCCCCGAGGGACGTTGATGAGTTCTTCGGTCGCCACACCCATGTGGAGGTGAGGACAGACGGGTCCGACCGTCACGTGATAATTCCGGGGAGTTATAACTTACTGCTGAATAGCGAGCAGGTTGTGTCGGCCCTTACTCCTTTATGCACCGCTCCTGAAAGCGAGATGCTCGGGACGATGAGCGATACGGAATTGTCTCGGAAGGTCGCCGGCATGGCCCTGCAGGTAGGTTTCTTTTTCTTCTCCTTTTGTCGTGGGGTCGATGTGACCATTTGTGCTTGTGTTTTTTCTAACTTTGCCTTTCTCTTGTCAGACTCTCGTTTTGGAGGTAGAGAGAGAGCGCCGCGAACGAAGGAGGACGTACCTCTATAAGAAGATGTCGTCGAAATACCATCAATACCGATCTAAACACCGGGCGATGTCTTACATCTACCAACAGGACCCCGAGTTCCAGGTGTTCCGTGAGAGACTTAAACAACAGGAGGACCAATTGGAGCGCAGGGTGGAGGAGTTGAAGGAGAGGGACGAGGCGCTTGTGAGGGGTATCGCCCGAAATAGCGAATTGGAGGCCCTTCTTAAGGCGAAGGAGGACGAATTGGAGTTGAGTCAGGGGGTCACGGCTGAGAATGCCGACTTACAGTTGAAGGTGGCTAGCTTGACCGCTGAGTTAGATGCTAAGGCAGTGGAGTTCGACGGGCTCAAAGGCGAGTTGAATTCCAGTGTCGACAAGTTGGCATCGGCCATATCTGAGACGGTCTCTTTGGAGGATGCCCTCCCATATCCAGGTCGGAACTTACGGGAGAGAGGGAAGCATCCGGTCGTCGGATCGCCGGATTTGAAGGGCGTGTCAGGGAGTTTGAGGCAGAGTTGTCGGCGTTACAAGGACAAATGGCTTTGCTGAGGTCGGAGGCGGCGAATCGACGTTCTTAGCCCTCGACGTCTCGTCCTGCGGCCGGTCAGAGTTTGCCTCATCGCCTGTACGAGTTGTGGGTTCATGCAGAGGCTCGACTTGATGTGTACAAGGCTTTTCATGCCGAGGGCCGGGCGGCGGAAGAAGAGGTTCGGGCAGTGCATGCCGAAGCGCGTGCAGCCCGTGAGTCATGCGGGTATGACCCCTTACTCCTGATGGGGAAGGAGTTGATTCTGATGATGTGAACCACCTTGCCTCGGACTCGTGGTATGATGAGATTTACCGTAACGAGGATGACGTGTAATTTCAATTTGAACCACTTATGCTTTGTAATTCTTGGCACGGGCCGTGCTAAGTCCCGTTCGCAGGAGCAGATGTAAATGATATTTTGTTGTAATATAAACATTACTTTTGTTGACTTGTCCGCTCGTCGTTTCCTTTTTCGTTTATCGTATGACATTCGTGCCTGACTATTGAGATGTTTTCGATTATCGTTGTAGAATACTATCATGGTTCGTTCGAGGTCAAACTAATGTTTTCGATGGCCTTGGCCATTGAGATGTTGCTTCGACTGTCGTCGACATAATGTCTCATCATGGTTCGAACGAGGTCGAACTAATATTGTCGATGGCCTTGGCCGTCGGGACGTTGCTTCGACTGTCGTCGAAGTATCTCGTCGTTGTCGATGGTCTTGGCCATTGGGGCCTTGCTTCGACTGTCGTCGAAGTATCTCGTCATTGTCGATGGCCTTGGCCATTGGGGTGTTGCTTCGACTGTCGTCGAAGTATACCGTCGTTGTCGATGGCCTTGGCCATTGGTTTGTTGCTTCGACTGTCGTCGAAGTATACCGTCGTTGTCGATGGCCTTGGCCATTGGGGTGTTGCTTCGACTGTCGTCGAAGTATACCGTCGTTGTCGATGGCCTTGGCCATTGGGGTGTTGCTTCGACTGTCGTCGAAGTATACAGTCGTTATCGATGGTCTTGGCCATTGGGGCCTTGCTTTGACTGTCATTGAAGTATCTCGTCGTGGTTCGTATGAGGTCGAACCGACGTTTTGGGGGATGGTTCCTTGCCACAATGGAAACTAGATTCCGTTCATACAATGGAGATTAGATTATCTTCATAAAATGGAGATCAGATCCCGTTCATACAATGGAGGTTAGGTCATATCTGTAGTCCCTTCATTACTTCGTCCCGGAGATCGTATCACCAGGCCGAGGTGATGAATCCCGGCCTGCGGGGTATCCCCTTCGCCGCCTCGTTAAAAACCTTCCCGGGAAAACCCGACTGGGACAAAACCCGGGTGAGGGAAAAAGAGTACGACTTAGGTGACGCCTCTCAGAAGTGAAAGTATTTGAGGTGGGCGACGTTCCAGTTGTTTTGAACCAGTTTCCCCTCCATAGTTTCTAGTTGGAATGCCCCTTTGTTTGCTGCTGCTATGATTCTATACGGTCCGTCCCAGTTTGTTCCTAGTTTTCCTTCATTTGGATCTTTTGATGCCTGTGTTTTGGCCTTGAGGACGTAGTCGCCAACTTTGAGTGGTCGTATCTTGGTTTTCTTGTTGTAGTACCTTTCTATTTGCTGCTTCTGGGCTACCATTCTTACGTGGGCCATGTCTCTTCATTCTTCGGCTTCATATAAGTCCTGTAGCCTACTTTTGTCGTTATCTTCCCCGCTCATGTTGGATTACCTCAGGCTGGGTACGACTTCGATGGTATGACTGCATCGGTCCCGTAGACTAATGAGTATGGCGTTTCTCCTGTGCTGGATTTTGGCGTGGTTCGGTATGCCCACAATACTTCAGCTAGTAGCTCGGGCCATAGTCCTTTAGAGTCCTCGAGCTTCTTTTTCAGTATGTTCAGTATTACTTTGTTGGAGGACTCGGCTTGGCCGTTGGCGGCGGGATGGTATGGTGTGGAAAGTATCCGTTTGATGTTCCATTTTTTGAAGAACTCAGTTGTCCTTTTTCCAACGAACTGAGGTCCATTGTCGCAGCTGATTTCCTTGGGGATGCCGAAGCGGCATATAATATTTTTCCATATGAAGGCGATGACTTCCTGCTGGCGTATCTGAGCATACGCACCTGCTTCCACCCATTTAGAGAAATAGTTAGTTAAAACAAAAAGAAATCGTACCTTTCATCGTCCTGCTGGCAGAGGATCGACTATATCCATTCCCCATTTTATGAAGGGCCATGGCGAGGTAACAGAATGAAGGCATTCTCTTGCTTGATGTATCATAGGGGCGTATTTTTGGCATTGTTCGCATATTCGGACGTAATCTGCGGCTTCTTTTTTCATGGTAGGCCAGTAGTAGCTGGCACGGATGAGGCATCGAACGAGGGCACGTACCGTGTGGGCGCCGCAGTGACCCTCGCGTACTTCTTCTAGTACTTGCCTTGTCTGATGTGGTCCGAGACATTTGGCTAGGGGGCCACCGAATGTTCTCTTGTAGAGGTCATGATTTATTAGGTTGTACCGGGCTGCCTGCACCCTGAGTTTTTTGGCTTCTTTCTTGTCTTGCGGTAGTATTCCATCCTGTAAATAGGCTACAAAACGGTTATGCCAGTACCAAGTTAGGTTCATAGAAAGTACCTCGACGTGGTCTATGGCCGGAGGGTGACCATATTTTCTTTGTTGAGGTTCTTAGTGGCCGCGGCTAATTTGGCGAGGTCGTCCGCTTCAATGTTCTGTGCCCTGGGAATTTGCTCGAGGCGGCATTCGTCAAACTCCGGCATTAGTTTGTGGATTTTCGATTGATATTTTTGTAGTCTCTGCTCTTTGATTTGGAAAGTCCCGGTGACTTGATTCACAATGAGTTGAGAGTCGCAATGGAGGATGAGTCTTCGGGCACCGTATTTGAGGGCCAACTTCAAACCTGCAATCACAGCTTCATACTCGGCCTCGTTATTAGTCATCTCGGCGCATCGTATGGACTGACGAACTATTTCGCCTGTAGGGACTTCGAGGACGAGTCCCAGTCCCAATCCCGAGGCGTTCGAGGCGCCGTCGGTGTAAAGGACCCAGAGATCGATAAGTGTGGAAGCGCGGAGCGCTTCTTGTTCCGCCTCGGGCAATATTTCCTCGCTGAAGTCAGCGACGAAATCTCTTGATGGCGGTTCACGGCTGGTATGTTATGTCGTGCTCGCTTAATTCTATAGCCCATTTGGCAAGTCTGCCTGAGAGCTCAGGTTTGTGCAGGATACCTCTCAGGGGGAAGGTTGTTACTACCTTTATGGGGTGACATTGAAAATACGGTCTAAGCTTACGTGAAGCCACGACCAGTGCCAGAGCTAGCTTTTCAAGGTGAGGGTACCTTGTCTTAGCATCTATTTAAGTTTTGCTGATATAGTAAATAGGAGATTGCGTACCTTGGTTTTCACGGACTAGTACCGCGCTGACTGCGACCTCGGATACTGCCAAATACACGAGCAGACACTCACCCGGGTCCGCTTTGACGAGCAGTGGCGGTGAGGACAGATACGCCTTTAACTTCCTTAGGGCGTTAACGCAATCCTCATTCCATTGCAACCCGTGGTCTTTTCTCAATACGTTGAAGAACTTGTGGGACCTGTCCGAGGATCGTGAAATGAACCTTGACAGGGTGGCTATTCGCCCGGTTAGCTTCTGCACCTGTTTCTTGCTGGTCAGCACCTCTGGTATTGCGTCGATGGCTTTGATCTGGTCCGGGTTGACTTCAATTCCATGTTGTGACACGAGGAAGCCGAGGAATTTCCTCGAGGTTACACCGAAGGCGTATTTCTCGGGATTTAGCTTCATCCCATACTGTCTCAATATCCCAAAGGCCTCTCGCAGATGGCTAATGTGGTCCTCTTTCTTTGTTGACTTTACCAGCATGTCATCGATATAAACTTCCATGGTTTTGCCAAGCTGCTCTTTGAACATCTTGGTAACTAGCCTTTGGTACGTGGCACCTGCGTTCTTGAGTCCGAACGACATCACTTTATAGCAATATGTTCCTTGGTGAGTGATGAAGGTCGTCTTTTCTTGGTCTTCTTCAGCCATCAAAATTTGATTATAGCCGGAGTAGGCGTCCAAGAAACTTAGCAATTCATGTCCTGCTGTTGCGTCAATCAGTTGGTCGATGTGGGGCAAAGGGAAGGAATCCTTTGGGCTTGCTTTGTTTAGGTCGGTGAAGTCTACGCACATTTGCCACTTCCCGTTCTTCTTTTTCACCATGACTAAGTTGGCGACCCATTGGCGGTACTTTTATTCTCTGATGGAACCGTTTGCAAGTAATTTATCTACCTCTTCGCTGACAGCCTCATTGATTGCAGCGTTGAACTTTCTCCTTATTTGTCGTACCGGCGGGTAGAGTGGGTCGACGTTTAGTCTGTGCGTGGTGATATCCTTTGGGATTCCGAGCATATCTGAGTGGGAGAAGGCAAACAAATCGGCATTGTTAGTTAAGAATTCACGATACTTACCTAGCTCCGAGAGGTCATGTCCTATGTAAGCCCTTTTTGTATGGTCGGCGTCGTCCAGTTGGACTGGGTCGAGGTCTTCTATAGTCGCCTTGCAGGCTTCTACGACATCTGGGTCTTCGATGGCCTCTGTTGGTGGGTCGGGCTTGATCCCCGACACGATTGATTGCTATGCTTCCGCACTTGCGCCCTTCAACTGTTTGGTGTGTGTGCAATCTTGGGTAATCCGATAGCAATCTTGGGCGGTGCGTGGCTCGCCCCGAATGCTGAATATTCCCTATGGAGTGGGAAATTTAATCACCTGATAGAAACTTGAGGGGACGGCTCACATGGCGTGTATCCATGGTCGTCTTATGATGGCATTATAAGTTGTTTCCTGGTTCATGACATGGAATGTGGTTTCCAACGTGACTCCCCCTGCTAGGACATGCAGCACTATTTCTCCGGATGTCCGTTCCACTACATTATTAAAACCCGTTAGTGTTATGCAGTGTGGTATTATTTTATCCTCGAGCCTCATTTGCATGAGAACTCTTGGGTGAACAATACACGCACCGCTTCCGTCGTCTACCATGATTCTTTTTACATTTGTATCAGCGATGCGTAAAGTTATAACCAAAGCATCATAGTGAGGGAAAAACAAACCATCGGCATCTGACTTATCGAAGATGATACTGTCTTCGAGGTCATCATACCGTTCGTGGGCGACCGTCCGTTTGAGTTTATGCGTGCTGGTGAACTTTACGTGGTTGATTACTGTGTTGTCGCCACTGCCGATGATCATCTGTATGGTGCGTGCTGGCGATGGTGGTTTTGGAGGTCCTTGAGACGGGTCTCGCCCCCTGGCGAAGTTGGCTCTTCCTTTGTCGCTGAGCAGCTCTTTCAGGTACCCCTGGTTTAGCATCCTGACTACTTCCTGACGCAGACCTATGTAGTCTTTGGTTTTATGTCCTCTTTCTTGGTGGAATTCGCAGAGGACATTCGACCTCCTGGTGCTTGGGTTCGATTTCATTTTTTGCGGCCATTGCACCTTCGTGCCCAGCTTTTCCAATGCGTACACTATCTCTAAAGGAGAAACACAAAAGTTATGAGCGGATAATAATAGGGGCATACCTCTTTCGCGTCGAAGGGACGTGGTGTGTCGTGGCACAGCATCTGTATGTCTTGGAGGGGCCGGGTTAGCTGTTCTGACATAGGGCTGATGCCTTTCTCGATTGAAATGTGGGGGTTGATCCCTTCACCCCTCGTTACGTCGATCTCTCCTCGCCTCGGTCTGTACTGACATTAATTGCTGAATCGGGCCATTCAGATCGTCCTCATCTGCCCTCACCTCGGCGCAATAGGCGTTGTGAATCTCTTCCCATGTGGTGGGGGGGTACTTCATGAGCCTGCTGAGCAACTTTTTGGTTGCTTTGGATCCGTTCCTGTTTAACCCATTCTGAAAGGCTGCTACCGCCATTCCTTCTGACACGTTTGGTAGGCTCATTCTTACCCTGTTGAATCGGGCTCGGAAGTCCCGAAGTCCCTCACCCGCTGTTTGCCTGATGCGAAAATATCGTTGACCCTGGCTTCAGCTTTCTTCGCTCCTGCATGAGCGGTAGCGAATTTATCCGCCATTTCCTCAAACGTTGATATCGACTGTGCCGGTAGCTGTGAATACCATGTCAAGGCTCCTCCTGTCAGAGTTTCGCCAAACTTTTTTAGCAGCACGGAAGGTACTTGTTCTTTTGACAGATCATTGCCTTTTACGTAGTGACATAATGGATCAGATGATCCTCGGGGTCCGTAGTTCCGTCGTATATTTTCAAATATGGTGGCATCTTGAAGGTTTTCGGAATGGGATGAGGAACGGCTCCATCACTATATGGTTGTTCAACGAATCGGCCCACATCGCGTTTTGGCAGTAGCTTGGGGGCGCCAGGTATTTTGTCTACTCTTTCCTGGTGCTCCTTCATTTGATCGCGGAGTGTTTTATTTTCGTTTTCCATTTCTTCCATTTTCCTTAAGATGGCCATGAGTGCACCGTCACCTGCAATAGTGGAGGGGTGAGTGTTGCCCGTTTGTGTGATACTTGACTCGTTAGTGTTAACTGCGAGTTCTGCAGTTGGTAACTCTTCGACGTTTCCTTGAGGGGATTTTTCGAGTATGTTGTTCAGAGCGCTCGTCAACCATTCCTCTAGCAGCTTTTTGACTGCCGGTGGTGTTTCTTTCACTATAGACGTGGAAGCTTCTCTTTCGCGTGAGACCGTTAGATCTCCGTGTTGAAAGGGTAAGATTCCTTCCTCCGGTGTATTCCCGGGCATTGTATTCTCGGCACCCTCTCTGCCGGCTTCGTTGAGGGAGTTCAGGAGGTTGTTTGAGACGTTTGGTATCATCTTTTGCCCCGCTTCTTTCTCCGCCATTGTTAGTTTTTATGGTGTGTGAGGGATAGTGATCGTCCCTTTCCAGAGCCTAGATGAGAACTATGGTTTCAGCTATCAAAATCCCCACAGACGGCGCCAAATTGTTTGACCCAAAAAAATATTGAACTTTTTGGACAAATCAATTAAAGATGAAGAGGTAAATCGTAGCTGAATATAATGAACTCTAGGAGGATAGCAATGATGTATATTAATGATCGAAAGAAGAGAATTGAATAATATTGCTCTTACAAGATTAATGTTCTCTTTTCTCTGTTCTCTAAAAGAAAAAAGCCCCATTTTCACAAGGCATCCATTCCCCCCTTATATACTAAGGATTCTCCCAATCACAGGCACGACCACCTTAAGGAATATTCGAAGAATATTCCCTACGTCTATTAATATACTGACGCTATTGCTGGCGCTGCCTACCGTTTCTTGTGTTGCGGTCGTACCCGACCAGACGTAGACCCATGGATGCTTCATACGTTTGTCGTGCTTGCCATGGGTCGTGGTGGATCAAATTTAGGCCCATACACCACTAAAAATAGGAAAGACAAAAACAAGAAAAAGCAAAACAGCTACATTCTGCATCAAACATGGCTGCCTGTGGCATGGGAATTATTCTATATTTAATTGGTAGTGGAGTCATCTTTCCCAAGAGAGGATTGATTCTGAATTTTCTTTATGTAACTGGATCATTGATTAATCAAATGCATTGACCATATCTCATTACATTATTATAAGGAGAATAAATATCAGACTCTTAGGTCTTTGAATTATCAAAGATTCGTGCCTCACTACAATTTAGGAATAAAAAAAAAGGCAGCCCGGTGCACTCAGCTTTTCCTATGCGTTGTGTTCGGGAAAGGGCTGGACTACGAGGGTCTATTGTACGCGGATCATGCATTTCTGCAAGAAGTTGCTCCCCATTTTACTACAATTTAAGAATAGAATTATAGAAAAGAGAACTAAACGCTAGAACATGTTTTTTTTTCCGATCACAATTTACACTTTTTCTTAATTCTTCTTTATTACATAAGCATTGTAACTATTTAGTAACGCTTGAGATTTCGCTAAGAATCGATGAGTGAAGTTAGTGTACATGAAATTAGACAGCAGTAGTGGTCAAAACCAAATAGTTAACCTCATGAACAAGTGATATTCAAACTAGAAAACAACAGTATAAATAAAGCACCACAAAATTTAACTTTTAGTTGGTTATACTAAAACATAAGGATCTTTACCCAAATAGCCGAATAATTCATGGACATGAAATTTGTCTAAAGTGGTTGCCTAGCTTTTCACTAATGTAAGCATTTTATAATAGACAGAAAACCAACCAAAAAGGAAGAGAACATGCGCAAATGGTTATCTAATTTTCTTCTCCCCAACCCACCCCCTAAAAAAATGGGGAAATAGTAAAACATATGCACCAGCCGGGAATCGAATCCGGGTCTGACCATGGCAGGGTAATATTCTACAACTAGACCACTGGTGCTGGTTGGAAAGTACAATTAGAGCACTTCTTACTTAAAGGTCGATACCAACAGTAATCCATATACTAAAATTGGTATTAATAATTATCAAATAATTGATAAAATTGAGAAAATAGGTGTGATTATTTCTTCTGAATGTGGCAACAAATTGCTAGTTTGCTACTTATTGACAATATTTCTTGGAAACTACTAATCAACCACTCAAAAATTGTTTAAAAAGGACAATCATTATGTTGTTTCATACCGTTTTCTCGAAACATTGTGTTTCAAACTTAAAATGCAAATTTATTGTTAAAAAAAAAAATAAGCGTGTCTGTGTATTCAATTACATAAACTATTTTATTTTCTTTAAAAACCAATAGGAAATTTCATATAAAAGGTTTTAGTTGGTTTCACTTATAATAGGGGAAAGTCATTCTTCTCCTCACTTAGTCTAAATTTAGATATTTGAAAATTTAACCAGAAAATTATCTAATTAAAATTAGAGCTGTCAATATGGGTCGGTCGGGTTGGGT